CTTCCTCGCGGTGGAAGGACACGTTCAACACAACTAGCTGTAAGTATTTTATAAATCAGTAATAACAGGCCCACGGGGCTGGGATCATTGTTTTATTTTGCTGGCAGGGGCCCACAGGACTGAGATGTTATGCAAAGAAGAGAGAGGATGTGTGAGGAGATAGTTATGGTAATATACGGCATTCCCCCCCCCCCCCTCCTCCCTGGAGTAACTGTCTCAACATCACACGTGGTGATTTGTCCTCAGCAGATCCAAATTACCTACACCTGTTGGCTCTGCCACATTAAATAAATACCCAATTAAACCTTTCTCTGCTCACCAAGAATGAGGAAAATGCAGTTGAGAGTGCTCTGCTGCAGCCCTACAACCCTCACCCCAGTGTTGTAGTGAGCTTTCAGATCAGAGGAGTTAGATAAGCACCAAGGCTTTTGAAAACAGGGCTGCAGAGCAATCTTTATGCAATCTTAGGGATTAACTTTCCCAGAATATAGTCTTGCACATTCAGTCCTGGCCAGGGCCCGGGATGGCACTGCTGGAAAGCTGCCCTGGGCTCCCATCAGAGCCTGTAAGGGACAGTGTCTGTCATGAGGAGGCTCAAGGTCCCTCAGCAAAAGTAAGGGAGGTGTGTCACCTGGAGACAGTGGTCAGTGCTGCCTTTTCATGCAACACGAGCTAGAACTCCTTTCTTTAAAGCTTCTCAAGGACCAGAACATCCCCTGTTTGTGAAGACTGGTCCTACATTGCCTGACTCTCCCCCAGCCACCAAGCCACAGCTCTCAGCACACTCCTGGTGTTGACAGGGTGCATTTTAATTTCTCAGGGTCCTCTGCATGTTCCCCCCAACATTCACCTGCACCTCATAAGTGTGCCATGTGTCCCACTGCCTCTCCCTGGATCAGAGACCTGGATGCTGCTGGTGAGCCCAAGGGCCAGTGATCACTTCCCACTGGGCTGCCAGGCCAAGGGCAGAGCAGCACTTGGAGGGGCAGCTGTTGTAGCTGTGCCTCCATCAGCAGGGCAGAGCTGCCTGTGCAGAGGGCAGAGGGGCTCCTGGGGGAGGTTGGGGTGTGATGTCTGGTGCACAGCACCTTCTCTGCTGATAACCTTGGACACGCTGCAGATGTGCAGCCATGGGCTGCACACTGCATGGCTTCAAAACACTCATTACCTGAGTAATAAAGGACACTTAGCTAAAGTACTTAGATTTTTTTGGTCTACACTTTTGCACATACAGAGTGCCCAAAGCAGACCAGGACACAGTCGCAGTTCTGAAGCCCCAGAGAGCAGCTGGCCACACTCAGCTGCACTGGGCTGGGTGCTGTTTGGGTGCCACTTCTGTGCCAGGGCTCCCAGGCACGTGGAAGTTCCACAGCAGCAGTCTTGACTGATGCAGATACGGAGACTTCTAAATTACAGTCAGCAAGCGACTGCAGACTGTCATTTCAACTGAACTTGATGCTGGAAAAGGCTTACTATTCTTGGATCTGCCACAAAAACATTTCAAGTTGTTACAATGCCTCTCTGCAGAGAGGCAGAAGGCTCCAGCATTTCAGCTGTGCCAGTGCAAACAGTTTCCTCATCACCTTCACTCAAGTGTCTCCTAATGATCCCCTGGCCCCTGTTTACACTCCATTACACATGTGCTGTCACACACTCCAAAAAATCTACATTTTATGCATATGTAAATATACCCACTTTGCATTCCTGCATGTAATACACGTATCACTTTCCTAAGTCCACAAGGTCTGTAGCTTTGCTGGTGCACATGCATGTCTCCTGCATACTTAGGAATTATATCAACAAGGGGTGTGTGCCAAGACTTTTCGGGAAGGAATCTGACAAGCCACAAATTGCTCTGTATGCCATAAAGTGCTGCTGTATGCACTAGAGCTGCATGTTGTGTTCCTCCCAGGGCCTGCGGCAGGAGCAGGCAGGGGGATGTGGGTGGCACCCCATCCGTGCTCCTGCACAGCCAGAGCTTTTAAGGAAGATCCCCCGGGTGTCCCTCAGTATGCTGCTGGTAGGATTTGCCAATAACATAATTTAATCTATGTTTGAACTGCTTCTGTGGGCTTAGAAAATGTTAAAAACATACATATTTGTAAAAACTCTGGTTGCCTGCTGTGCATTTCTTGTAAGCTTTTCCATAGTCCCAAGAGGGCAAATTTCTCATCTATCGGTTCCAAATTACTAAAACCATGACGCTGAGAATACTACAATTATCAAAATCTCAGAAATGATAAATGGAGGGCCTATTTAGAATATTTTGCTATGTGGTCTCCTGCTGTGCTGAATCCAGTGTCCCTGCTCTTCAAGATTTAAATCCTTTGTTCTGCACTGATGGAAATAGTTTAATACAATTTCCCATGTCCCACCAGAGCAGTTCATTGTGGTTGTTACACTATTCAATCTTTTCTCTGAACTTGAAATGTCCCTAATTCGAGATCTGCTTGTTGTCGCACTGCATCTGTAAATTTGTAAGTTCATGGTTTTCTTCACCTTTCTTAACAGTGAACTCCTCCTTTCCTCATAATTTGTGATATCCAGAGCAAATAAAGAGGAAATCAAGACACAGGTCAACTGAACAGGCCCCTGTGAAGTTTTTCTGTACATCAGTTAATTTAAATTCTTTATAAAAAATGGAGAAACATCAGCAAAAAAGTGAAATAATTATTAAGTATACTACAGGGAAGCTTGGCACGTTTTTCAATCTTGTACATTTTCCAACCTTATTTTACTCCATCACTTAACATCCACTGCTGGAGAGTACAGTCTCTCTCTGAGCAAAGCTCTGCAGACAAACTGGGATTACAGACTGCATTCTGATTCCCAGCATGGCAGAGAAATGCAGTATGAGGCCAGTTACTTGGGGGTGGATGACTCTGGATTTCTATCACCGTGTCTGAGGTCACAGTTTGACTCCTTGTGAGTAAGTGAGGTCACGTGTCTTCCTCTCTAACTTCCCCACTGCGGTGCCCACGCCTGGTGCTGGAGGGGGAGCAGCTGAACCCTCCCAGCTGACTGAGTCAGGAGCATTTTTTCTAGATGAATACATGAGAGTTTATATGAGAGCAAGTAATTGCTCTTCATACGTGCCTGGGATATTATTTCATTAACCAAACTACTCCCTGTTCATGCAGAAGCCCCAAAGATCAAGCAGCTGCTGGTGCCAAATTAAGTTTTCCTTGGGGTTAGAGCACAAAGCCAAAACTCTTGGGCCCTTTTTCATTAACTTCCTTAATTTGTGACTTTAGACAAACTCCCTGGGATCTCTGTGCATCAGTTACCCACCTATAAAGCGGAATGAAAGCTTACTTTGTGAGGGAAAAGAGATGTGAAAATTAAGCATGAGGGGCCAAATTCTGCCCTCTTACTCATACTGAAACAGTCCCTGGCTCTGTGCTCCTGTACTTTTGGGCTCCATGACATCACCAAGGAAAGCTGGACCAAGTGTAAGGTAGTATGTTTACCCCAGCTCTCCAGGTTCATAAAACACTCTGATATTCTCTGGTGAAAGCTGTCCTATAAATACAAAGTGTTCCTGTGACTTGGGTTTGCTCTTTGTTTGGGTACAGATTCAACATCTCACTTTCTTGGCTTACGAGACAGGTCGTTACTACAACACTCTCTCCTACCTCCTAACACCTACTTAAACAGAAATCACTTCTTACTGCTCTCACATTCAGGGCACAGAAATCTATTTAAACTTTCCTTTTGACAGAAAGGAAATCATTAAAATCAACCTCAATCCTGAGGAGCTGCTGTCCTGTCACACCACACTGCTACAGGTAAAGCCTCCAGCATGTCTTCAACTTTGCTTGGCTTAGGAAGGACCTCAGCTTTTGAGATTGCAGAGACTTTTATAAAGCCATGAGGAGCTTGGGAGAGCAAAGGCATGGGGAAAGAGAAGTCATCCTCTCCAAAGGGGAGTTTTAATGTGCCTGAAGAAGGGAATTAAGACTTCAAATGGAGGATTTAGCATCATGTAAGTGACACCCTTTAGCATAAAATCACTGTCTGGGGGGTAAGCAGAGCATTATCAGATATGCTTCTATAATCAAATTTGAGAGTATCTTATATCCATTCCATGCATGCATAAGTGGCTATGTAACCTATAAGGTAATAGAGGTCTGTTTTGCCAAGTGTTCTCCCTATAGCAGTAACTTTCCCTTCCTACGTGTAATGTTTAAGCTGTAGTCATCCAGGCTAGTAAAAACTGTTATTTTCAAAATCCCCCAGCTGTAATGGTGGCAGGTGGCATTAGTGCCAGCATGGGGTCACAGAGAATGGCACTGAGCCCAGGAGCCACTCCCCCAACAGCCTCAGCACACACACACACGTTGGACACTCCTTACCTGGCTTTGCACGAGCCCCAGAGTGCAGAGCCACCAAACCCAGGTGTGTTCCAGAGGTCTGGGGGTGCACACACTAAAGAGCATTTTTAAGATCCCACAAATACTTAACTATGGTCTCTGCAAGTGGGAGGAGAAACTGCTCTTTCCAAAAGCTTTTGGCCCCAGGATTTCCCTATCTTGCCAGGCTCCATGCATCCCCCTGAAGCTGTGGATTTGGTGGGAAGGCCTCGGATAATCATCTGACATCTTTCTTAATGCTCATAAAAACAGCTAGTGAGAGCTCCTTACGCCCCATCATACGAATGTGAGTTTCCCCAGGGCAGAGCAACACTTGCAGGACTGGAGGGAGCAGTGTGCAGCTGGTGCTGGGGCACTCAGGGGGCACCTGCCAGGCCATGGAGTGGGGAAAGGAGGGTCCTGCCAATGTGTCTCAGAAAGCTCTGGCCAGCTCCTTCCCTCTTTGCTTTCTTGTTAGGAAAATTCAGCTTTTCTAGGCTAATATATGGCGTGGTTGTGACACGAAGCTGATGGAAATGCATAGATGTCATAGGAGAGTCCCTTCTAAAGGGAACAGAAGGCCCAATATGCCATGTGGACTCACTTCCTAGAGGAGTCTGCTGCCTTCCTGGGGTCTGGGTTAAAGATGTGAAGAGAAGGTTTTCTGCCCTGATGGGGCCTTGGATTACTACCCATTATTGATTTTTCAGGTAGGAAGTGATGAAGTTGCAACAAGAAGTCCAAGGGCAGCAAAGAGAGGCTTCAGGGCCTGGAGACAACTGGTCAAGGGATGAGGAGCACAAGTGGTGTTCTCCTCTATCCTGAAGTTGCAGGAATGGTGAGGTAAGAAACAGGAAGAGCCAGCAGATCAATCCCTGGCTCCAAGCCTGGTGTATGGGCAGAACTTTGGGGCCTTTGATCAGGGGGCAGTTCACGTGACACCGAGCTGGCAACAGATGGGGTACACCTGTGTCAGAGCGGGAAAAGGATCTGTGCACAGGAGTTAACAGGGCTCACTGACACAGCTCTAAATGAGATTTGAAGGGGGGAAGGGATATAACCAGGCCTGCCAGAGACAAGCCTGAGGGCAGCACGTCCAAGTTTGAGGGACTGTGTGCTGCTGAGGTCCTTTGGTCTGCTGTCTCAGGGGAGGAGGGGATGGAGATCCCTGCAGCAGCAAAGACCAGGGTTACTGGTGTGTTAGAAACCATGGAAGCACCTGAGAATGGCCACGTAGGAACTAGGGCTTCTCCTAAAAAACAAAGGCATCCAGGGTGGCTGGGCATTCCTCGAGAAGAAAATCTTCAAGGCACAGGAGCAGGTTGTTCCCATGGGCTGAGAGATAAGCTGGAAGCATTGGGACAGGCTGCCCAGGGAAGTGGTTGAGCCATCAGCCCTGGAGGTACCTAAAAGGCACACAGGTGTGGTGCTTGGGGACAGGGTTTAGTGGCCTTGGCAGAGCTGGGTTAGTGTTTGGACATAGTGACCTCAGAGGTCTTTTCCAACCTAAGCAATTCTACAGTTCTCTGATTCTCTGATTCTAAGAGATGATTTCAAGTTGATATTCAGTCTCCTGGTTTGGACTAGTAAATGGGATAAGCTTTCCCTTTCCCTGGGATAAGCTGCTTTACAGGATGGTCACCTTTTCCTCAAGCTTGAGAGAGAGCTAAACTGAGCCTCTGTAAAATGGAAATGATCTTGTCCCAAAGTTGACATTTTCAGCTGAAAACAAGGAATCAGGTTCTCTCCCTGGGGCTGAGCAGATTGTTGTCTGCCAGTAATTGCACTGAAACCAGTGGGACTGCAATGGAGTTAAAAGAGGTACTGGCATGGTATAAAGGTCACTAGTTTTGATTCCAAATATCCATTCACCTTGTTTACTTATGTACTAAAAAGCTTTTATCCCTATGGGAATTGTACTCTATTGGGACTTAGATGCCATGACTGAGCTTTGCTGCCTGCTTGGCTCTCCCAGCATACATTGAGAAATCCAGGGTCAGAAAGGATGGAGCGAATTTGTCAAAAAAAGGCATTTTGTTTCTTCTGGTTGTGTTTCTTGGTGTTTTTTCATTTTGGGGTGGGGTTTTTTTGGCTTTTCTTCCTCCCTCCTGCCAAATTCCCAGTCACACTGGCAAAGTGAGCATATTTCACTGGATTTTCCACTAGCTTTTCATTTGCTTTTCCACCAGCAGATGAAGAAGGCGGATCCCATGTGCGTGGTCTTGCTGCTTCTTTTTCTGAACAAAGTCAGCTGGTTCAGTGAAGTGCTCTGCACACCCTCTCTGCTGCTTCATCTCTGCCATTTGAAGTGCTCTGCACACCCTCTCTGCTGCTTCATCTCTGCCATTTGAAGTGCTCTGCACACCCTCTCTGCTGCTTCATCTCTGCCATTTCCCCTGACATTAACACAACTCTGCATGTAATGCCATTTCCCCATGGCACTATTATGGCTCTGCCTGTAAGGACACAGGAGGCAAAGAGGAGCTGTGCAGAGCAGCTCCTTGGTTTATCCTTTAGCTCTCACCGAAACGGGTCGGGAATTTCAGGGAGGGAATTTTTAGGCTGGCAAAATGCCAGACTGATTAAATCCAGAGGAACCTCCCAGCAGAAATCTGAGCAGTTTCTCAGGTCTCCAGTGAGCTCAGTGGGCTGGCAGCTGCTGCAGAGCCTGGTGATGGGGAGAGCCCAGCTCAGCCCCTTCCATCCACAGCTCCATGAGATGATGGGTGTTGGCCACCACTGTCTATAGAAGGTTATGTCACTGCAAGGAATTCCACAAGCTGATGTAATTCACTCTGGCCTGAGCTCCTGGGCTGGAGGAGGAGGTTGTAAGGCCACAATCTGCTCCTCGAGAGCCTGTAAGGAGCTGGGGAACCCCGGAGCTCACAAGTCTGTGCTTTTGCAAACACCTGAACCCCCCTAAACAGCACCCAACCACAAACTGGTTCACAAGGGGAAGGTACTCACTCCAAAAATACAGTCAGAACACTTCCAGGTGGTAAGGAAGAGCTCAAAGGCAGTAATTTTGGGTTGGCTGTATCAACTTCATTCCACCTTGTGTACAAAATCTTCATCCCTCTAGCTGCCTGGTCCTGTTCTCCTCTCTCCTCCCAGGCTGTCACCCAGTCTTTAAACGGCTTGGGGACCCTTGCCTGCCTGAAGGGCATAAATCTTGGAAGAGTCCAATTATTAATCTCTAGAAGTCTCTACTGAGTATATATGATTTCTCTTTCAATTTTCTTTCTTAGAAATAGATTAATAGTTTTATTCCCTTGTTTTTCAGCTTGAGGCAGAAAATCTAACAGAAATTCTCAGCTTGAATGATGAAAGTTTAGTGAAGCTTTACTGAATGGCAAATAGAACCTTCTCCTGGGAAATGATGAGCAACCTTGGCCTGAGGTGGGACTCAGGCAGTGCAGGGTGGACTCCCAGAGTGTTTAGCAGAGCCCTCCACCGGTGTTGTCAGACCCTCCAGAGCACTGCATTGAGTGTGTAAATGTACATGATCTGCCCTGAGGGCTCAGGGAAGCAAGGCTGATTCCTGGTTTCATGATGGTTTTGATGTGATTGTTCCAGAACCTCCTTAACTTGCCCTTCATTGCCATAAAACTCTATTTTCTCATCCAAATCTTGATGTCATCCTCTCTCTTCCCTCCCTAGTGCCCCGTTCCATCTGTTCCTATCAGACTGCCTCTCCTCTTGCCTGTGGGGATGCCAGAAGAGCAAAGATATCACAGAAATTAATGTTTTGTCCTCTCGTTTTCTGCTGCCTCCTTCAGTGCCAGGCTCCAGAGGCAGGCACACTTCTCACCTGGTCTTTAGTGACCTGACAGCTGCTTGGTCTCTGCTGGTTTTTAAAATTTATAATTCATGGGATCAGTCTCTTGTCCCCAAGCAAATCAGAAGATCTGCACTGTTTCCACAGAAAAGGCAGTGGAAGAGGGTGGTAACGAGTTGGCACTTAGCACCAGCTCCAGGAAAGCTGGAGCAGGGTCCCAGCACCCAAACCTGCCTGCCTTCTGGCATCCCCCAGCTCTTGAACCCAGGTGCATGAACCCATGCTGCTGCTCCACGGCCTCATCACTCCCAAAGCTGCACTTTCTTCCCCTGGCTGCCGAGATCTCCTCCCTGATTAGGAGAAGTTGCCTGGCAGTGCAAGGAACCAGTCTCTGCGTGTGCCCCTTCAGCTCCACACAAGGAGACAGGCGTGCTGTGCTGACTTAGGGAAATGATCTGTCAAGTTCTTATAAACAATAATAAGAAGTAAAATAATGTTTCATTTTCTCCAAATTGGGAGAGTATTTGTTTTGCTCTCAGAAAAATCTGCAGGTCCTCTGAAATGGGTCGGTAGTGACATCCAGTGGCCACAGACTGAGACAGCCACAGTAACTCTGGGTTGTAGCACCGTGGGCTCCTTTTACTGCTGTTCACACGTGTCCTGGAAGTGTTCTGTGTGCAAAACACCAACCCGTGTATAGATTGGATAAGTATCACTGTTCAGGGAAGGAAGAAAAACACCGTATCCACCCAGATCATCTTTCCAGGGCTGGTGCAACACCTCCCGGTCCTGGGAGCTACCGCCCTGCTCTGACCCCCCCAGTGCTCCCTCCCATCCAGGCCGGCCTTTGGAAGGAGCTCAGTTCACTCCAGAGGGTGTTTTGAAGCGAGTTAAAGCTAAAGGTCTCACGGATGGGCCTGGGCTGCCTATGCACATTGGCAGCTTGTTTAATCAATTTTTTCAAGGGGCTTTCTTTTATCTCCCTGGCTCCTTACACACTTTCTGGCAATGCTGTCTAAACAAAGGGGCTATCTGAGCTTTGCAGATGTCATGGATTCTATATGATGAGTCAGGGATCTTCTATTAATGCTTTTTTTTTTTTTTAAGGGAAATATGCATGAAACACACTTTCCTAGTGCAGACACCTATTAAAACTTTCATAGCAGTATTTCTGGAGATTTAGAAATGGCCACTAGATCGAGGCAGTCCAAGTCCAACTTGGCAATCCTACATCATGAGGGATTTTTTCTACATCATGATTGTTTCTTTTTCTGTCCTGTTGTCACGATCCCACTCACAGTGAGTTAAAGATGGCAAAGTGTGTATTTCAAGCATCCAGATAACTCCTGACCTTGAACAACAGGCTCAGGCACTGTCTTGGACTGCAGCCACTCTTCTTCACTTCTTGCTGAGCCAGAGCTGCAGAGTGGTTCCTACTGGGGAATACGACCCAGGCCACCAAGGAGTGCATCAGCTGGTTTGCATGATTTGGGGAACTGGGAGAAAACCTCGATTCTTTCTTGGTGTGTTAGAAAAATACTGACCAGCTCAGTGTAAGCCAGGCATGGAATATTATTTACTGACTAACTGTCAGTAAAAAATGTGTGAGCTGTGGCTCCATAAAGGAAACCCTCAGTAAAACACTGTTTCTCACTTGATCTCGCTTGCAATTTAAGAAGTTAAATTTACACCTTCTCTGGCAGCCCTGTGCCTCTTGCTCAGTTCTAATCTGAAGCAACTGCTGTGGTTCAGGTCGGGGTTGGGAGGGATAATCAAGTTACTGCTGGCTGGAGAGTTGCTGTGTTTGTGTCGAGGCTGGGGGTTCCACCACATGCACACTTCTAGACTCCCACAAACACACAGCAAAAGTGCATTATCTTAAATCTTCTTTTGCTGACATTTAAATGAACACATTTTTCCTCAAATATGAGACAGGCCGAGAACATCTGGCTCCACTGATGCTCAGTTAGTAACTCATTACACTGCAGGAGCTCACTCATTTTTGAGCCCTGGGCTTTGGTAATGCTCTGGCCTGGTTTATGGCTCTGGTGTACTTGATTTGCAC